TTTAGCAAACTGCCTTGACTCAAAGTTTAAACCAATCAAATATTTATACAATGAATCTGATAAATGGAACCAAATTTGCGGTACATTTACTTTTAGCACATTTTCTAGGTCTTATAATGCTTATGAACTTAAGCTGTTGATGCCAGTAGATCCCTTGGAATTATATCAGAATTTTATATTTACAGGGATTGCACGTCTGTAAAAATTTACAAAGCCTTATTACGCTCTTATCAAATTGTAATAAAATACGTAGTGCTTTTTCTGCGTCTCACACACATATGCACATGATCTCAATTTAACTCTGTCAATAAAAATGTAAACTTTTTTAGTTTACGTCAAAATACCAGTTCACTATTGTGTTTTGAAATGTATTGAAACTTCTTCAAGAATTTTTAATTTAGGTACCAACTATTAAATACCAGATAACTCAATTAATTATATATGTTTTAACAAATCAATTTCTGAAAGGTTAAACTAAGTATGCAACATAAAAAAATAAATAGTTAAAATAGGCACGAGTATTGATCTTGGGTCTAAACACTAGGTGAAAACCAAATTTCAAGTACAAAAATCTCTCTTTACGACATTTTTAGTTCGATTATACAACTTCTATTTCGTTTTTACTTTTATTCACTTTTTACCCCCAATCTCTTTTCTGGAATGCCACTTATTCCTAAAGATGGCTTTTATGTAAACGATCTAAGAGTGCACCTCGTAGACTGTTCCTCCTCTCCTTTCTAAGTTTTAATATAAAAAATGAAACATCTAAAATTTTAATGTTTGTAATGAATGTTGTAATAGCAATTCTCATTGTTGCGATTAATATATCCAGTGGGAGTTGGCGCTAAGCGCTGCAATGCGACTGAACTTTCAAAAAAATAGACTTAAAAAGTACAGAGAATAAATAGACAAAACCACCCAAAAAGTCCCATGTTTGATTGGTAACCTATTGAAATACTTAAGTATTCAAAACGAAAAAATACGATTTTCGCTTCAAGTTACGAATATTTTTTATATTAAAAAAGTACTCTTTTTTTGTCAAGTATTTGTCAAGAATAACAAGCATTTGTCAAACTGTGACTTATTTTGAAGCTCCAAACAGCGAATTTGCCAATATGCGATTAGTTATGGGGAAATGCCACAGTAACATAGCAGAAGCTGTAAGAACTTACACCAGCTAAGGGCTAGAGACACAAGACGAGTGGCTCCAGGAATCGACGCAGATAGTGGACAATGACTGAAACCCAGGAATTAATTTTGATAGTGGACAATCTAAATGTGCTCAGGTTCCAGACCTAGAGGAACAGGTATTGGAGATTATTGCATATGAGGCTTCCAGGAGTACTTGAAGCATTGCTCAACAACTACACTTTCTCAAACACTGGATATTTAATCGTCCCGATAACTCCCCCGAAGAAGAGCCTACATTCTTACCATGTATTAATATGCACAGGACACTAGAACACATTAAATTTCTGATCTTCCCAACGCCGGTACAAATTGAGCAGCAGTTAATTAACCGAGTACGAGAAGCTGCTCAAAATGTGAGCCCAGACTGCTGCCAAAAGTGCACGAAAAGTGATTGGGACACAAACATGTTTGGATTGAAACGGGCAGAACTTCGAATGCTTCTTGTGATTTAACAACTTAATTGTATTTTATTTGATCATTAATATTGATCACTGATACATAACCTTTAATAGGTGGTTTTGCGTGAGAGCTGTGACGGATTTAGGCATATCACTCATTTGCCCCAAAAAAGTGGAAGCACTAACGGCAAGGTGCCAAACCTAACTTCATAGTATGTTACTGTCTCTTTTATTTTCATTGCTTTTAGTTTGAATTGAGTTAATCCATGGTTACCGGTTAGTACGAGTAGTTTTTAATAATTACGAAGGAACATTGTTGCCATCCTTCTGATCTAGTTTTTTGCAAATATCTGAGTTTTTTATAACAGTAAATTTTTTTTACTATTTTTCGTGTACTCCCAAAACACCCCCCGATAAAACCTCCAGAGGAATGATGCCCATTCTGAATCACCCTGTATTGCTGATAGTTATTAGCTGGAAACTTTATTAATTGGAGGATATTTTTTAATATTTCTGCAAAGAAAAGTCGTCACACTTGTGAATAAATAGACTGCAGTAAAAATTAAATAATTTTATTTCCTGCTAAAGGGTAGAATACATACATGTAAGTATGTTAGGAGTAGTGTTAGTTTTACATAAAATATATTATTTTTAATTGTTCTTTATACGATTTATTATTGTCCTGCTTATTCTGCTGACCGTTAATCAATGGCAGCAAGCAAATGTAGCGCTACTGTGTTACATAACTGCGAGTCAAGGCTGGCAAAATCGATGGCGTATTCGGAACACGCTTCCTACTCATAATAGACATAAATAAATTCTATATAGACATTCGCTGTAAAATTAAAATAATTTGCGATTTTGTTAATGTTTGCTGTTAGTTGTATGGTTCTTTGAGATTTAGGTTTCTACAACACCGGAAATCCGTTCATAATTTGCTATTTATAAATTATCAACCTCGTAGATCATTATCACAGAACATTTTCCTAGAATACCAGGTGGGTTGTTATGTGGTTATTATTGCTATTAGTATGCTATAAATAAAGCTTTACCTGATTTTTTAAAACAGCAACATATCCATTTTCTATCAACTCGGTTTGTAGTTTGGCGGGACAATGAATAATATTGCCCACAAAAAATTTTACTGCATTGTCGGTCATATTATAAAAAATTAACTTGTCTAGCAATTTTGCAAAGCAAACATCTAGGCAAAGTTGGTAAATAAATTCACTATTTTACGCGGTGTATTTACTTTCAGCACTCTTTGTTCGTCTGAAAGCTTACTAATTTTAAGCTCTTGATACTGTTAGATCTCCTGTCTGTATTTCGCGGTTCCATGAGCGCAACGCGACAACTGCAATTTTATCTGATTTATATATCGGGTGTCAATTTGAAAACTTCCCACCCTTAATATCTTTCTTGCAGTTGAAAATATGAAAAGTCGGAAAGACCCGTAAATTTTATTTGTTTCAACCCCCTAGGACGGGTAGATGTCACCCTTAGAATATTAAATGGGAAGGGAAGTAAAGTGGCACATCGTTTTAAAGGGCGTTAAATTCTCTTAAAATAATACTTTGTTGCTTTTTGTTCAGAGGTTTTCGAATAATTCCGTTTCAAAATTCCAGAAACAATTAAACCTGCCTGCATTGAGATTTTGGTTCTCAGATTGGTGTCTAAGCAAAAATTATGGCACTGGGTCTCCTTATAGTACAAATTATTAGAAGCTTTGGATAAATTTAAAATCGTTGAATAACAGGAAGGAAATCTAGTTGAAACAAATGATTTCGGATTTATTGATTATTTTACTTCGAGAAAAATAACTTTTTACTTACGGAAGATACATTTCTACAATAAAACTCATGAGATCTACTTCCGCACTATCTTATAAGTTGTTCAAATTGCTGTCTATTTTTTTGTAAACTATAATGAAGTCTATTTTTGCACCCTCCCTAACATTGATAAGATATTCTCGGATAGATCGATTGGCAGAAGGGGACCAATTGAATGGCCTTAAAGATCACCGGATTGATCACGCTTAGACTTCTTTCATTGTGGACATTAAGTCCATTTTTTTATAAAACACAACCTGCTGATATTAATTATCTTAAAGCGCGAATTGCAGCAGAATGCCGGTCAATGTCCGGTGAAGTTTTTCGAAATGTTAGATAAGAGTTTAAAAACAGACCCTTATTATTGTTTACAGGGAAGTTGACAAGACTTGAACAACTTATAAGATAGTGCGGAAATTCTTATAAGATAGTGAAGAAAACTTCCGCAAATAAAAAGTTATTTTTGTCGATGTAAAGTAATCAGTAAATAAGAAATAAGATCAAAATCAAAAATTAAAAATCAATGTTTAAACTAGATTTTCTTCCTGTCATTCAACGATTTTTTTCCACTTGACCCCCCTTCCCATTTAAGGTTTTAAGGGTGACATTTACCCGTCCTAGGGGGTTGAAACAAGGAGGATAAAAATATGTATTTAAAGTGTCCCCCTTACAATTAAAATTGACTTGTCTCCGATTTTTCATATTTTCACCTACAAGAAGGATATTAAGTGGAAGTGGGAAGTTTTCAAATTGACACCCCGTATATTTATTAATATATTAGATATATATTTGATAGACACAAAACATTCAGAACATGGATTTGAATGGTAAAACTGAAAAAAATAAAGAATAATTAAATCTCTTTTATAAAAATCTCGCCAAAAATATGATTTCTTTCGAAAACGTGATAAAATGTTAAACTGCATCTTAAATGTGCACTGACTTATGCAGTTATCATGTATAGTTTAGAATTACGCACAACTTTGCCAAAACGGATGATTTGTAACCGAACACATTTGAGTCTGAAAATCACACAAAAACAGGACTTAAAATTTAAAATTCTGATGGGTTCCAATATATTCTTATTTCGTTTGGAATTATTTCAAAACCAGGAAAGATACATCAGAATTTTTCTGGGTTTTAAAATATCCTTTTTTTTGATGGGCATATTTGGCTCTGCGATATTTCTAAACAAAAAAATGTATACTTGTTCCAAGTTGATATTCCTCACTGTTTTTGATATGTTTCACATTGAAACATGTAGTAAATTTTGAACTAGGCTAAAAGAAAAACAGCAAATACTAAACAGTATTTATTTAGGCACGTTAAGAACTAGTTTAAACTACTTTTTAAACTTCGTAAAAACAAAAAAGTATTGAACCTAAACTTATCTGACTACAATACGTTTATTACTCCTTTTAATAAATGATTGTGGTATTAAAAAATAATTAACTGTTGCTTCCGAAGTGTTCCGCAGCGTTTAAAATCACCTTGCGCATAAACGCAAACCCTATATGGTTTATTACCATATATTCAGGGTGAGTTTTTTTCGATGACTTGTACAGGGATCCTCGGAACTAGAGCAGTTTTATTTTTCTAAAATTTTACAGCTCCCAAGAGATATTAGGGAAAAACTTATTTATAATAAATTTTTAAATTACTCCTAGTTTCGTTGATATTAATTTGGCAGGAAAACATTAAATAGAAAACTTGTATTAAATTGAATTACAAACGAAATGGCATAGGATATTTCTCTAAAATAACTGTCATTTTTGACATATGACACAAATTTGTATTTTTTTAAATCGTAACCATACTTGATTATTGCTTTACCGAATAGAGCATTTTATTACGATTTCTGTGATATATCATATTTTTTTCGGAAATAAAGTGTGTGCAAACAATTTATACTTTTTCAATTTAGTTGATCGAAATTAGCCATGGAAAATAGTAGCAAGGGATAGGTCAAGAATTTGTACCTGACTGACACAAACTGTATATTTTGCGCCATCTCCGCGAAACTGACGAACTGCAATCGCCTGAGGACATAAATATTTAGCCGTCTGATTTAAATGCAGGCCCCCGTATGATGCGATCGCTGCAGAGTTGAGGCTTCTACTGACTGCACACTAGAGGTCCCTAGGTGCTATATAAATGGTATAATGACCTTTTTTCAACATAAAACGAAATTTAGATCCGGCAAAAAATAAATGTTAAGATAGTGAGATTAATTTCAAATAACTAGACTTGTTTATTACCTATCATGATGTGACTTTGATAAGATCTTTAAATTTTACATATATTATACAGAAAGCTGATTTAAGTTCTATATTTATTTACTTGCGTTTGTAAAATTTGTAAATTATTATAACACAGTTTAAGGAGGGGACTTGCTGCAATAGGAAACCAACGCAGTTTTTTGTGATTTTCAATAGTTTCAATATTTAGAAACTTCAGTTTATTTCTTCTGAAGCATTTGGTTTAAATGTTATCTAAATTATTCAAATTTTGAAATGGAAAACGGTCTACATTCCGGTCACGTATGTAAGATGCACAGAACACAAGGACTCATTATTAATCACATATTAATCCAATGGTTTATTGAACGCTGGTGCATATTGAGCAGAAGTTAATTAACCGAATGCGCGAAGCTGTTCGAGACGAGTGCACAATAAGGCCACCAGACAGACACTAACTTGTTTGGAGTTAAGAACAGAAATGTATATTTATTTGTAAACATCAATTTGAGGTTGTGTTGACAAAAAAGTAATTTATCGTTGACAATATTGACATTTCGAATAAGTACATTCCCACATTCAACGAATCCTCTTGAATTTACCGTCTATCCTTGCCTATATTTTATTATCACTTTCTGTATTTTTTCATGGTTATCGGAGTTTTGAATGATATTATTTACGTAATGCTAATTAGGCAGATTACCTTGAAAAACATTGTTGGTGTTTAGTTTTTTTGCAAATTCATCGGCTCAGTTTTTAATAACAATATTTTTACAATTTTTTCTGTTCTAAAACACCCACAGACAACACCTTCATAGGAATGACTTGAACTTAATATGAATGAATCTTGGCGACTCCACAATCTAAAGCATCTCTTTTGCGCTTAGCTGACTTTGGCTCTGCTTGATTGTTTTTGTCGGTATAAAGACGGTTTTCATTTTGCCCTTTTAACGCCTTTCGATTTCTGTCAATCATTTGGTGTAAGTAAGAATTCAACCCTTTGAATCTGTGATTCATCATTAGTTCGTTGGATATTTTTAGGTCGGCGCACTGTCCTTTTTGTCCTGATAAGTATAGCTATTAAACAAAACGCTTTTTGCAAATTTGGATTTTGTTTCCTTTCAATTTAACTGAATAAGACCGTGGAGAATCGGAGCTTTACTCGTCATCTTTACATACACCACTGGCTCTTTTTAATACGTACATTTTTCAAATAATACTAACAATTAATTAAGAGTGAAACAATTAATAAATAATGACAATATTGATAATAAATTAATGAGAATTTTTACATAATTAGAAAACCAAATTTTGCCTTTCCGCACATTATTAAAAGCGCACGTTAGAAGCAACTTTTGGAGATCAGGGCTTCTGTTCGAAAAGGGAAATCAATTATATTCATGTGGTCGCTATGCTAAATTCCTATGCTTTGCTTCCAAACAGAGATAAATCTCATTTCTCACTACCTGAATAATGATGGCATTTCATTAGAACTCCTATTGCAACACGAGTTCCATTTCGAGCATGCATTCCGCAAAGTATTAAAATTTTTCTCTACTTTAACCACATATCGACGGTATAAATCACAAAACATCTCCGACCATTACTCACACCCGTCCCTTAGGTAATAACGGCAAAATTTTCCAATAACTCGCCAAATTGCGTGGGAATATGGGAAAATATAAGAAAAATATAAGTAAAATTTGCCAGAAATGTGTCGAAGCATCCTCTGGACCGCCCTATCTTGTCCGAGCACCGGGTGCGAGTAAGTGTAGTTCATAAATCTCTGCGCGAATCGTCGCCGGTGGTGATAATGCCTGTTTCGAAATAAAATATTGAGGGAAACTTTTATTCCTACCGAAACTATAGAGCTTTTATCGGCCATTCTAGAAGGTCTGCCAACATTTCTTTTGCTACTCTTTTTTAGGGGAGAAATAAAGCGCAATGTTAAAGGTGAACTATGAAACGACGAAGAATGAGCTGAAATCTGAAATTAATTTTTGATTTAACCAACAACAGTAGTAATTCGATAGAAACATCCAATAACTTTACTCTACGAGTATTGATGATCTTTTCCAAATACCCTTCGCCTCGTCTTTGAACAGTCCAATAAAGCTCTAGTAAACATAAAGGATTAATTGTGTCTGGAGAACTCAGTACTTTGATCCTCCCACATATAAACACTTACTTATTTTGCTTAGTTATCACGATTATTTCTTAATTATTTTACTAAACCAATTTTGACCGGAAAAGTAAAACACGGTCATGTGTTTTTGAAACCAGCTGTGTATCAAAAGAATTTTAATTTCC